GGGGGGGAGGGGCTGGATTTCCTTTGGAGCACAAGAAAGTTATCTGCTATCTTTCCCCATCTACCCCACTGTGGCGCGAACGGTGGGAATTGGGGAGGCAGAGATATGCGCCGGCGCAAGTGAAGAGGGCGTCCACCCACACTCTCATGGCCTCAGGCGAGGGCGCAGCCAATGATAGGATTCGCGTCCGTGTTGGCTGCGGGCGACTCTGCGGCGAGGCTAGAGACGGAGGAGGGGGACATGAGGCCACCAGAAGGAGGCAGAAACTCGTGTTATTGCTCTTCCGTGCCCGTTGATCAGGGTAGACGTCGATTATGTCTGTGAAACTGATCACGTCTACAAAACAAGTAGCCTGTACAGTCTTTGGAAATGAATCCGCGCTGGTAGTAGCATTTACAAAACCGATTTTTTCGAGTTACAGGTCAACTCGATAATTTCAAAGTTCCACGCATGGAAATGCATGCTACTATGACGTCTGCTACACACTACTGACGTACTTCTCATATTGGAGTCAGTTTAGTAGAGATATCACTTATCAAGGTAGCAGACAACAGTAAAAGCGCGAAGAGGCAAAAGTGTGATGGTGTAAATGAAAAACTTGAAACCATGGACATTTATTCGCGTCTATGGATGACTTCAACAAAGGTTTACTTTGTAATGAGACACCTGCTTGTTAAGTAATAAGAAGCCTTTCAAAGCTGGCCAAAATCACATCTCTCATTCTCTACCCACGAGATAATAGTTATTCAACGCTGTAAGCAATACACGCATCAAAGGCATGAGCCCAGACACCTTATTGACATACGAGAAAAAAGCACCTAGCAATTGCAATTCCCAAAAAAATCTTGTGCATTTGGTACTAGATACTGAGACAGCTTCCTGCTCTGCATAAGTACCCATTACAAATGACTCAGATGTTCAGACAAATTGCGCCAGGCCGAAGCTGTTTTTCAGCTACTACATAAACGTTAGAACACGTTTACAAATACTGATGCTGTTAGCAGTCGACAGAATTTCTATTCTCATTCGTCTACCTTCTTTTATTGCTTTAAAAATCTCGGTATAACTTGGCCGGTCCGGTATCAAAAAAGCATTTAAGTTAACTTTTGGCGAGACATAAAACAGGATCTGGTAGAAGGGTGCTGAGTGCCTGTGAAAGCATCTAACCTGATAGAATAGTGTTTAGGACAGGAATTTGCTTTTAAACAAATAAACGCCACTGGGAAAAATACCATTAGGAAGAAGATTTAAAGGACGGGACTAATTCAGTATCTTCCTACCCTTATTCTATTAAAACCGAAGTGGGAGTTAGTTTTGGGAGTCAGTGGAGCAGGAGCAACAGGGTTTGGAGTTTTCTAGTATCAATAGGACTTCTCTTCCACTAATTCACCAGTCATGGCAGTTTCTCGACGAAAAATCTTTTTGAGTACCCTCAAGTTGAATGCAGATGGACTTAAGCAATTCATCACTCCCACACACAAGGCATGGAAAGCCTTGTAGGGGTGGAGGGGTAAATGCCTTAGACAGTGAGTGGGTCGTTTGGGATCAACCAATGGCGCCGCCCCACTTAACGCTGCAGTACAAAAACTCAAAGCCCTTCCTCATCATAATTCAGTAGATCGGTCCATCAGCAAACGGTACATTCGAAACGGTGGGACTTTATGGCGCACGCGAAAGAAGTGCAGAACTGATCAACACACTGAAGCTCACTGTCATTTGCTAATGCATGATTGTGGGATTAATTTCACGACTCTCACTTACCGGTTGGTACAGATGCAGTTTACAGGTTTAGCTTGATTAAAGCATCACAGAAAGTTGGTTTTCAATATTCCATCGAAGAAAATGGAGTCTTCTTCATCATCCTCCAGGTTCATTAATGGAACCATTGATTTGGAACCACTCAAATACGGGCGGTACGCTGTTCTGCTACCGCATCTTGATGAGACTTTTCTGCGGTTTTATAGCCTAGTTAAACTTGCTTGTCAACTATACAAGCATCAAATCATAATAGGTCCGTTGAGCTGACATTTTATGAGGAAGAGGATAGATAGCTCAATAAAGAGCACCACGACAAGATTGACACATATCTACGCTTAATAGTGCAGTCAAACAGACAACCACATCAACTTTAAAATAATGTAAAATGACAATATGGTAACGTATAAGCGTACCTTTAGGCTTCATGAGAGAGGCCGCATTAGAAGACTTGGAGGTATGACTGGAGTAGTAGATCAGTAGTCGACGCCTACGATCAAGGACGAACCAGCGTCGCTTACCACGCCGACTGCGATGGAAGAGCGCCGCCATAAAACCACCACTTGGCGACGTGACACGCGGGGCCCTTTGTCTTGCCCTTCTTGTAGCCGGTGAGAAGAAGGTAGAAGAGGAGACAGTGCTGATATCAGAAGACAATCCCTCAAGCAATGAGTTGTCAGCGTTATTGGTGGTGGGCGCGGAGGTGACACGAGAATCGACTTTGTACAGGTAGCCAGCACAGGTTGTTGCATCGACATGCAAATGGGGCATCAGAAGGGGCGAACAGAGGATGTGGCCGCAGGTCACTTCAAGGTGGTGTCGAAGGTCAAAGGAGATGTCATCGGGCACTGGCAAGTAACGAGTCAACGGACGTGCCTAAAGCCACACATCACCGGATGTTAAGTTGCATACGACATGCCTTTATCTGGGCACTGCATGTTCAGGTGGCTGGCCACTAGATACATTCAGTAGATCTTAATCATTCCCTTAACCCAATTGTCTTTTTGATATAGCATGAGTGCAGCCATGAGTGACCTTGATAAGCTTTTAGGTGGCTAATGATTGCTGAAATGATTGGCTATAATGAAAGAACCGCTTAACTAAAATTATGCTATACCATCTTAGATGATCAAGCAAAAGGAAGCTTTGAAATGCTTCATAAATATAAAGAGCAAACCCAAGCATTCGCAAAAAGTAGACACTCCCTACAGTCACAGCTTTGAGTAACCAAAGTAAAGACATCCCAAACATTGATTAAATATCAATTTCGAGGAGCTATTGCTGTTCAGTGCGGACCATACGCTTTCCTATACAAATATCTCTCAACCTCCATCACCTGCTGCCAGATTCAACTCGTACTGATTATCAATACCTACTGCTGGTAGCCGAGTTCATGAGCATTCACCACATGGAGCAGGTAACGTTGTCGCCAATTCCTAAGTTCCCATTTTCGAGTCTTGCGTGGTTAAGTTGCGATGAGCTTAAATCAGTGTAGAGAAAGAGTTGAATGACAGTGATTGACGTTGTAGCTTAAGGACTTGTTACCTCACTTACAGTATTGCTTCTAGATAGATGCTACGAAATAATGCAGCTAAGGTATGAAACTTGTTCTCTGTGGAACATAGTGCTGGCTCTAGTTCCACTTACAAAGGGGAGACCTCCTCGATGCAGTTCACTCTGTATAAAGCATGATATTCACTAATCTCAAAGCATAAAGTGCTCTTAACTAAATAGATACCACCTACTATATAAAGTAGGTCCGGTATATCAGCTACGCAACGACTCATAGTAGTAAAAACTGGAAAACACCAAGAATCACATTTAAAAAGATGAGGTTCATATAAATTCTTTTGTGTCTTGCTCATGCCTATGGGTAATAACAAGCCGTTTTCTAAGCAGGCGGGATTTCAACCTCCTCAGGGATAACTCAGAGGAACAACGCTGCTTAAAAGGTGTCCAGATATTTAACAATATTTTAAATTAATGAGTATGATGTCATTGAGCAGCTAATCACACAGCCTTTTAAAGATATATCCTTGTCAAAAGAAGGGATTATAACTTCCCTAAATAGCACATGTTGCGGCCATCCTTGCCCCAAAGGCCGCAGATGTTCAGTGGGCTCTGACTAGGTTTTTATCTGTAACAATGTGAGGGAGGGAAAAGTGTCCTTAGCAGAGTGAAAAAAATACGGAATCCCAACATTACCTCACCATCCTGCCATATTTTTCGTGTAGCCACAGAAGAGGTCCTTTGACGATGTCGAATGTAGACCTCGTCAGAGCAATGAATTGGTAGCGATTCCTCACGAATCCACTGTTGTTGATCTCCCCTTAGATTCGTGGAGGGAAATAGAGGTGGAACAGCGTGAAAGATATTGTTGGAAGAGGAAGTGCACGAAGATTGATGGAGTTCATTCCCAATAGGAAGAAGGGAGGAATTGGAAGAAGTTGCCGCTACGTGGGGATTCAGACCTCCAGGCAACGAGGAACTTGTTTGTGGAGAACCAGTAAAATTTTCTCTTTCGGAGAAATGCTGCAAGATGTGCAAAACTAATTTATTAATCTCTTAGCAGTGCTCTTTTACGGGATCATAAAGACTGTAGCTATGCTTGACATTTCATACGGTAAGAGCGACTTCTGCTTGCAAGTAAAGGTGACACGAAAATATAAGATTAACACTGAAACCTCGGTGGCATTGCGTCCCTTCTCTATGCACGGTAACACAGTCCTTTTGTAGGCTAATAATAAAACACCGTCCACCAGAGGATGGCCTTATTAAGTCTGCTTAGCGAGCCCATTTGCTACACTGGTGATGACGGTAGACAAATCCGTCCTAACCCGACTGTCAAACTTAAGTGTCCAAGGAGGGGAGAGTACGCCTTAATCATCTGTTCGCTGAATAAGTGGAATTCGGACAGGCGACCGACCCACTCTGATGTGCAAGGGAGAAGGGAATTTTGAGCTCCCGCTGTACGACATCATCCTCCTTTTGGCAAGTGCTCCTTTGGATAGAGTTTAGTAAATAAATGTACACTTCACGGAACCTCGAAGAATGAGGAAAACTGAGTAACAAAATGATGTTTATGTAAGGCACGCGTTGATTAACTCGGGTTTCTCTACCAGCGCCTTAAAACTAGGGCTCCCATCATGTCTTACCTGTTCACAGACTACCAGTCTTTCTGTGCCATTGAGTGGTATGCCGGAAATGCCAAGAAATTGCCTCCTTCTCCGTTTGACCCCGATTACAATAGCAACTCTTAATGGGCAGTCACTGACCTCGGCCAAACAAGTTTCGCATTGCCTAGGCAACTTTTTAATGCAATGAGAAAATTTGTTTAGATTGAATCTGTAGCTGCTGAAGCATCTTTGAATGGTTTCAAAGAGTGAAAGCTGTTTTTTTTTTTACCAGTTTGGAGGGGGGGAAATTTGAGAGAACAGCTGAACCACCCCAGTTCAAATCGCTTCACTTCGTTGTCAGTGCTGAAATACTGATGTCTTGGAAACAATATTGAGGAGTAGGGCAAGTGTAAGTCACGTAAAGTTAGGTCAAAGATCCTGTCTAATCTTTCACCCGTGTTGATACCATGCGTAACCATTGTCTGGTACACACAAGCCTTTCAAAGTTGTATGTTTTGGCAAATAAATTGCATTTTATTATAATTGTAAGAAGATTTTACCACTGACTATGCTGGCTAAAAGCCTGAAGAAGGGCTAGGAACACCATGTCTTACTTAAAGTCAACCGTCGATATGAGTACCCGCCCTCGGGTTCTACTTTTACGCCTCTGTTCCGGTTGAAAAGGTACCTGTCGTCACCTAGTATCAGGATTGGATTACCAGGACTGATTGCTTCCGTGAAAAACTGTGTCTGGACGCGCTATATGTTGGTTATCCGTATGAGAGGATTTACATGATGGGGGTTTAACTTGAACGTCTCTTTACCTTTTATAATGAAGCAGTTTGAGAAATTGTATCACATGTCTGTGTCAGGTGCTATGGTATCATTATTTGGCACAAGGCTGCCTTAAATGGGGATATGACTTCCTTAAACTTACAGTCTCGTCAAAACTACAGCCATTTTGCTGGTGAAAGACAGGAGCTGTATTGGTTGGGAGAGAGATCTTGTAATCCATCACCGCCAGATTGCTTCGAGGATGTCGCATGGGTGAGCCGGTAGAGATGAGGGAAGGTGGGAAGTGGGCAAAATCATCGTCCCTGCTGCAGTCGGTGATTCGAGAATCAGGTTTAGCGACACGATTTGAATCTTCTTCCAGGGGAGGTGGGACACCATTCATCACTGAATTGCCTAGAAGAAAAGGAAGATAGCTGAATTATCAAGTGGGAAACCGGATACTCAATTCCACTTAAAGGCTCCTCTCTATCTTATAGTTCTGATTTATAATTTACCCTCACAAGGGAAACGTCAAGGCGGACTTTTTGGTGAGGCTGACTTTTAACAAAATGTGGCAACAGAACAATGCCCAACTCAGAAGCAATATTTCAGAAACCGCATCCCTTAGGTACACACACCAGCTTCAAGCCTCATACACCTCACACGATCCCAAGACTTGCCCTCGAGGAAGAAAGGAAGAAGTAAGGGAGATTCAACACCTCCCCACGTTTTCATTCCCTCTGCATTCCTCTGATCGGAGTCCCCAAGTTCCAAGTGTTACCTTCCACCGTTTCTTGGCATTGGTGTTGGACTATCACGTGATCGAAGTAGACATTTTGGAGATAAAAGTGAAGGTAACTGGAGACAGCTTCCTTTTAAAGTCGATGGACACCTCGTCCAATCTACTTGTAATCCTTAACCGTTTTTTGCCTTGCTAAGCCCTAACAAAAGCTATGCCATATACATCAGATTTTACCATTTAGTTATCTTTTAATTTATTTTATGATTTGATAGTGAAATTTTGTTCTCCGTCTTCTCCCTCGTAACCTAATATATGGAAACCCGACAACTTTGCAAAATTCACCCGCCGTCCGCCCTCCCCCAAAAAAAAATTAACATCAGTACAGGAGCAAAGCGGATAGAAATTTTGTCGTAAAAAGTTAACAACAGGGCCTAATTCGCCCCTTAATACTAATTTTGGCTCTCTAGCATTCCCTTTTCTACCCAGGGGGACAGATGGAACTAAGGCGAAGCTAACACATTCATGCCTGGAAAGGTGCATAACACGAGTGGCAAAGTATCCTCTGAACGATAGAGGGTGAATTGAAAGGGTTCAACCAAACTACTTCGTTTCTTTCCTACCCTATAAATAATCCCCAACTCGAGGGAAGGCGATAAAAAACGAAATCTGACTTTGGACACGATGATCGAATGCTGCTTGTTTATAGCTGACGGGTTTTCTTGACAAGGGTCTGCAATAAATTCTACAGCTAGAAATGCAAGTTGGCTGTATGTGAAAACGGTAGGGTTAAAAAATTTATGATCGGGTTTGACATTTTACATACATTTTGGAGAGAAGGATCCACTAATCGCCTGGAAATTAACGTAATCCGACTATTTTGCTGCACAGTTTTTTTTCATAAGGAAAATCCGATTGGTCGCTTCCATTATCCCTTTGAATGCTAACGAACGATTTCTCCCTATTTATAAAGTAAAAAGAGGCGCCGATGTGTGCATGCTTTTGAAGCTCTGAGTGTTTGCTTTCATTGTTCTTCAATCAGACGTCCCACGCATAGGCTGAAATTTCACAGGATTGAATGCCTGTCGAGGTGTTGGGAGTGGTAACAGTACCATCAGAGTCTGGAAAATCTCTACAAAGTGCAAAATCGACTGCCTCTGGAGCATTTGTACCATGCATTCAAATGTTTTTCGTCTGAGAGATCGAGCATTTAAGGGACCTAACTCACTAGCAGTGCTGCCTGCTTCCGCCCTGATTGACGACAACTGGACTTAACCGGCTCTAACAAGGAAGGTGAGTTGGTTATTAGTGAAAGGAAACGCCACCAACTGTTGCTTATAGTGCCACTACAATATCATCCTTTTATAATCTTTTGAAGTGAACCTCCCTCTGGCCTAGATTGAATTTTCTACGTCGGTTGCGGTGAGAGGAAAAGGTGAAATCGCTAAACAATCTTAGGCTTAAAATTGGCAGTTTTGAGTAGGCTCAGAAATCATTGTATTTATCTATCTTTTTTAAAAAGCAAAAAAGGATCCTAGGAAGTTTTGCCCTTTTTATAAAACTTACAATTGGATGAATTGACGTTGTCGACAAAGAAGTGATCCCCTCGATGGTCATTCTAAAATTAAAAAGAAAAAAAGGAAGTCAAGTGCAAATTTTTTATAGATAATCAGCATCTTAACAGATCTGACAGAATTGACAATTGACACAAGTACAAGGAATGTCGTAGTAAATTTGTTTTGGTTAAGGCGTTCAAGTCAAATAGGGACTTTTGATTGTCCACAATTGTAAAGAGATGCAACCTTGAAGGTACCACACGTAGAAGTCAACGACAAATGCTTGTGTGCATTAATTCATTTCTATTGTACATGTCACGACATTGAGGAGGGTGAATGAATGGATAACTTTCTTGTCAACGAGGTCATCAAGCCCTAACGTCTAAGTATCTACGCATCATTCGTGCGCAGGAAGTTGCAAAGTTTAAATGCTTAGCCGCTCAGAAGTGCGACCATTCAATGGTGATTTGTAGGCAATAAGGTTTCCGTTGGTGACCATTCCACCTTCCGCCTATGACTAGCATCGATGACCAAAGAACAACACTGTCCTATGGTTATTCAGACTTACTAACATCCTTTTGGGTTGACCTGGACAGAAAAAATGCGACCCTTTATTCTATTGCCCATATTCCCATCTGGTGTAAGAGTACTTACGTTCATTGGATCTAGTGATCCACCACAGAAATGCACAGGAGAGTCCTTGGCAGGGGAGGAGTATATTGGTGAACTATTGGGTAGAGGCCGGTTGGAAGGAAATGCTGCAGTTGGATAGGTATAGGCGTCCTCGGGACTTTTCTCCCTCAAAACAGTCGATTTTGCCTTTTCAGGGGTGGTGATTACTGGAGAGCCTTCGGTGGACGTCTCCTCCTGTAATTTCAACTGAGCCATCAAACTCTCCTTCTCCTCCTCGTACTTGGTTTTGTCCTGGTAGATACAGAAAGTCCGCATTTAACTGTAATGATAAGATATTTTATTAGGCGTCTTCTTTATTATGGTCATCATTTTAGTGTCATGTCCTTCAGTCTGTGGCTGTGCCCTTTCAGCCTTCCCTTGCGCTGAAGAACCCCCGTGAATCTAAAAAATCTTCTTTTACATGCTAATTTAGAGGGGCAATTTAATAGCAGAGGTGCCTGCTAGAATTGCCAGCTATAAATAAGCATTTACAGCCTAGTCGTTAAGTGTTGCTACATCAGGCGCCTTCCTTCTATGACTCCATAACGGATGGCAGGCTATTAATGCGGGTGGCAAGAGTAAACCTTCATGCAAACAGCAGGGAGGCCAAATTGCGAAGGACTGAAAGGTCCAGCCAGCAGCAGACATCATTATGTTGCCTAGGGATGTGTGATTTTAAAAACAAAGGCCGTCGGACAGTCAATGCTGTAAATAAATCTGTTTTGACATTTACAAGAGAGAAGGCAATATTGTTCAAGCCAATCAAAAAGACAAAGCTACCCAAAGGAAAGAAGAGAAACTGCTATTGCTCCAATGAATTGCTTATACAAAGACCTAATTCGGTATTTATTCGATAGTTGTTAATAATAATGCCCGTTCAAATCAAAAGGAGACTGCTGTAGTCAGTGATAAGTGGTAATTGTTCCCCATTAGAGGTACCCTTAATCAAGATGACAGTTTGGAATGCTTGGAGTGAGTGAATGCATTTAGCTGGTGACACACCACGTTTCTTGACAATAAAAAATCAACGAGAGTGGGTGAGGGTGTGGTTACGAACTACATGCCCGGACAGAGAAGGTCTAAACCCCGTAGCTATCCATTCACATCTATGGAGGACCTGAAGTTTAGTATGATACAGCAATTGTGTGCTCATTCGACGACGATCGCATCCGTGGCAGCTACGTTACCGGACCACGACTCGAAAGGCTTTCCTTTGAGTATCCATAATCGTGGACAGTCTGATCCTGGATACCCGGCTGCTGCCTAACCATTGTACCGTGAACGAATTATCCTGTAAAAACGGCGCACCCACGTCGGATATCACCGCACAGAGGTGTTGAATACCGCAATAATTTAAAAAAAACTTTTAGACAAGGCAAGTCAGGACTATCTGAGAACGGAACAGAGATAAGTCATTTCACCACGGAATCAAATGAATATGAAGATGGCTTTTAAAGTTACGCAGTGGGTTAGACTACGCTAAAAAGTTTGAACAGAATCGACAAAGTTGCAGAATTTGCTTGGTAGTGGAACAGCGGAATTGGTGTGTGGGTGTGGCTGTTGGTTAGGAGCAAAATCAGGCACTACCTGCTCCATAAAATTGTCTACTTGCTTTTTTTATGTTTCGATTTAACATGGACGGGATCCACAAAGATTTGAAGTGAATTTGTTCATGTCCTACTAGAGACAACTTGAGTTCGGTGCCATCAGTTGCTTTCACAGAGCGAAAGTAGACATTGCGGAGTAATACGGATTGAAGTTCCACCTCAAGAAAACTATTTTACCATGACTAATGAAATTTCACGCTGAATTTTTCTCTTTTTGGAAAGTGAATGAGCTCTAAGCCACCACATTCCGTGTCACTTTGTTATCATTACTGTCAAGGAATTTTGACATCCACACGTTTTAAAATTGCTCCAGCAACATGTGCGCAGGTAATTTTTGTTAAAAGACAACATTTTACCATGACTAAGGAAAAAAATCTAACAATATGAACTTATTTTTAGTAATTGAGAAGAACAGCTTAAAATTTACGGGCCATGGATGAGCCTCATAGGATCTTCTCAGGTCACCTGCACTGTGAGGGCTTGTGGGAAGTCTGTCCACCTTCTTAAATGAGATACAGATCTGCTCTGAACTACGACATTTACAAGGATTCTTATTTATAGAAGCCAAAAGAGTGTCCAGCCTCAGCCAGCGCCTTTTTCCTACTTTTATTTTCCAAATGACCGCTGATCGGATTTAACCATGAAAGTCCAACACCAACGCCAAGAAAGGACGTGAGGTATCACTTGGACTCCGGGAACATTTAATTAGGGGAATATGGAGGAAAGAATTGAAAACGTGGGATGATATAGTATCGCCCTCTCCTCCTTCCTCAGGGCAAATATTTTTGAGATGGTATGAGGCGTGAAGTTATGGTGTACGCTTTAAATTTATATCGTACTGGGTAAATGAACCACAGCCCTGATTGCTTGACCTTCAACAAGGAGGTGGTTACATCATGTCAAAGGAAGAAATAATCTCAATACTTTTCGTGAGTGATTGACTGGAGACGTCAAGTTGCACGATAACTCTTGCATCTGGTAAAGGTGAAGCAATTACGCTTGCGGCCTGTCTTCTCGATACTAATGACTGCACCTCGAAGGTGTGGAATAAAACTTCCCTCTACCTCTTGGAAAACAAACTACACTAGTGGTATAGTTGGCAGAATGTTTTACTCCCATGGGATAACGGAGAAACTCACTAGTCGTGTAGGATTTGAAATGGTAGCGCATAAGTGACCCCCTAGAAGTTGTCATGCAGAACCTTAAGATGAACTGGAAGGAAAAGTACGGCCTCGGCCACATCTACGTCCACGGATTTTTTCAGACAATGTTTCAAAAAATTTAAAGTTATGTGCATTATCTTTACTTAGAAGGCAATCACATGACCACACAAAGAAGGGGCAGCAGACGGGTGATATGTAAGAGCGGGGTAGGGACAAAAAGAGCCAGGTGTGGGTAATTCTAACTTGGCTCTTTGAGGCAACCCGACTTGAAAATCGTAAGTCATAAGGTGCTTGTGTCTTGTTGGGTAAGGTCAAAAGACCACAGCGGTGTGTGTGTATTTCAATGCAACCTTTCAAAGTCTTTTTTAGATTCTCTCTTCAGTTAAGACAATGGCACATGCATAGTGTTGCTCTTACTTCAAAAAATTACAGATTGCAAGCATTTTAGTCGCCCTCTTCTTCCACATATGGTCACCTATGTCAGTGCCACTTTATTTAATGCATCATGCCTTGGACTACATGAAAATCGGCACCTCCACCCTTCTCTTAATTTATCTTTTAATCTGTCATCTATCAACTTCAACATTCAAATCCAAATTTACCACAGTCTGTCCTGTTTTTTGTCTTATAAAAGCACCGATGTCATATCATTCATTTTCATCCTTCTATTCGTCAATTGGATGTCTAGAGAGGTGTAGCATCCCAAAATCCTCTCAAAATGCCACTAATAAATAAATATTTGACCAAGGATAATTCAACTTCAGTTTTGTCAGATAAAATTGCCCTTCTTTCCAGTTATTTTTTTAAACGATTTCAATGAATGAAATATCCTTATACATCTGGCAACTTGACAAGGTGACAGGTTGTACTCACTTCAAGATACTGGTATTCCAGATCATCGATGAGGGTCTTCTGTTGTTCCAGACGCTCTTTAAGGTGTCGTAATTGGTTTACAAGGTCTGACGGAGCAGATCCGTATTTCCTTTCCGCAATCTTCACCTCCGATCTGACACGATTGTGTTCCAATTCCAGCAACTCTAGCAACGCCCTCTCGTGTGCTAGCTGGTTGCTGAACTAAAGAATACAAAACAAATGATGTTATCCAACTAAAGGAAGAAAAAAAGGATTTAGTAGCCAATAGTAATACAGGAAACTGCCTCTCGGAGAGAAGGCAGAAAACAAGGCTAGTGCTGATGTTAGGAAGCTTTATCTGTACCGCGTGTGTTACTACCTTCTTAGCCCTTCATTGGTATGGTAATTAAAACTATTCCCTCACCAGCAATGTGGACATTTAAAATTCAACAAGGCATGCAACCGTGACAGTACCACGAGAAGTAGTAGGCGGGTGACGCGGCGGACCATCTCGGACATCTCCAACCTAAGTAACAATCCTTGTAGGCAATAGTGAGTGGTTACAAGGGGGTATTCTTGTAGACAGAGGCGTAAAATTCAAATACACCCAAATGTCTACTCGTACTCACAGAAGACTGCAAACACAGTGCGGCAATGGAGGGCGCAACACTGGTAGGATATCGGAATGATGTCAACTTTTCAAGGATTGTACAAGGGGCGAGCATTTCTGTAGTGATAGCCATTTGACATTCACTTCTTCCTTCCTTCCTTCAAATTCTTGTGTAAACTTTACGCTCCATTTTGATGAAAACACCCTTCGTAGACGAATGTTACGTGTTAAAATGTCAGTAAAGGTCGAAGAAAGAGCGAATTCTGACCAAAATCTTTAGTATGCGCTTTATCTTGCATTTTCCCAAAGAATTATTGTTGCCTTTAAAAGTGATTGACGCATAAAATGCCTCTGCACCCAATGTTTTTCAACCACAGATTGCATAACATGGTATTCTTCTCAGTCGATTCAGCTTTTCGTTTTGCCCACCTCTGATTGGCCATCCATCATTTAGTCTCAGAGGTAAACTGACCACCGCCGTCCACCACAAAGCACGAGTTGTTGCGACCACTGGTTAGCACAAATGGCTAGGAAATACCTCTCGGCTACTTATAGAGCTGGATGTAGATAAGGCAAGGAAAGAGCCAAGTCGACCTACATTTTATCTACTACAGTAGGAGTGATGACAACTGTGATTAGCAGTGAGGTCAAACCCACTGGACTGGGTTGGGATCGAAACCCAACAGGGTGGAAAAAGAGGTCATGAGGAGAAGTGCGGTTGCATGGGGAATAGTAATTGCCCTTTGAACCTTCTCGACCCCGCAACAACTTGAGGTCAGTTGCAGGTGAAGTTTGGAAGTTTTTTAGGTGCCCAAATTAGCCCGGACTGCACCGCAGCCTCCGGTTATTATCGCCGTATATGCAGTTGGTATGGCAGGGCAAAGAAATCTTCTAATGTTTTACCTCTACGAGAAAATAAAATGGACAAACAAGTGAGTCCGCATGAGGTAGTGATGACTCGTCTCCCACAGTAGTAGAAAGTTGATGGATTTTAGGCAACAAGGCAAAAAAACATTGCAAATCAGAGAAGTTTTTACTGAATCTAGGAAAAGTTTTTCTCCATTTTTACTAAAAATTTGATGACGGTTCAACTTTTTTCCCATTTTTATAAACATTTTCATAAAATTTGTGGTTGAACAGTTGTTTGAAAGGAGAAGAATGCGAAAATATGCAGATTTCGTGTTCTAGTGTGCTGAATTCGGAGAAAGCAAAAAAACATAGGAAAGAGAATATCAAAATAGCAAATGCCTGTTGTTTTTCAAGAGTTTCTAAGTGAAATTAGAGCTTCTTCCTGTAAAATTCTCCATTTATCTTTACATCAGTTGCAAATGTTCGTTTAAACAACGGAGTGGGGAATTTAAAATCAGGTGGAAAGGAAATGGACTGGAAAAGGGGAATAGGCTGACTTGAAGAAAACCACTCCGTGGAGCGTAAAACGAACTGCAGGTTTAAACAAAACTCTACCTCTCTCCTTCTGTCAATTGTGTAACTAAACTAGCTCATGCTTTTGTTTTCTTTCCTCCAAAGACAGCATTTTCCTGCAGTCTCCTCCCTGAAGAACTTCGGTTGGAAACTCGATAGCAACTTCGCTCAGCCAACCAAAACCACTTTATACATGTTTTTTTTCTAAAAAGCGGAACAGTAAAAACCTGACCACATTCATTTTTTGATTTGAAAATGTCTACTGTCTGTGGAAGTATCGGGAAAAAATTGACTATCATCCCTTGGAGGAATGCCATCAGGAAATACGAGTGACGAGGGCGAAACAACACCTCCCTTCCATTCCAGTCTACCTGCTTCTCAAGAAGAAGAACTGCCTTTGCCCACTTGTTTGCTTTGACTCCGGAAAGTGAATAGCTCATCCTGAGCAATCGCCCCTGCAAGAAAAGTGGTCAAGGTGGGAAGTGGATGGATCGTTTGAACACAGCCAATGAAATTTTTGTTTGATTGATTAAGAAAAGGACAAAAAAGGCGCATTCCTGCCAAAAACTAGTCACTTAGTCTGCCTGGCAGCCAACACTAGAGCAGCATATTGACAACCCCTACAGCTTCCAAGAATTCCCTTTCCCAGTTGATGTAAGTGTTAGGTCATTTTTTATCACCACCTTGCCAAAGGTCATCCATGGCACGGTGATACAGCGACTTGTAATTTACTAATTTTATCAGAGAACACGTTGAACATATTTGGAGCTTGGAATCAGTCAGGCAAAAAGACAAGCTCAAATCAAACTCATCAGGTTTATCCCACGCCTTGTGGCGAGGAAATAAGTTCAAGGTAAGTAAAATAAACGGCAGAGAGAGGGGGAGAAACAATAAATCTTGTTTATATTTACATATCGCGTCCATTTTACACGTCCCTAGCAAGCTTAACCGAGAACAGTACGAGCTTCTCCTAGTCAGATGGCAATTTTTGCTTTATTGCCACTGACTAGTTGGATTCCAAAGTGATCACAAGGATCTCGGACATCAATGGAAGAATTTTAAACCAGTCCCTCATCGTAAGGGACAATGGAGTAATGCATTGGAAGAATTGCGCTAACGTAAGAGAAAGACCGATCCTGAAAGAACCGTACTTACCTACAATAACCGAGCCTCTGAGTTGCTTTGCGTTCCAATGTACCAACAGATAAAATTGTGTCATTAACACAAAGGTGGAAATAACAAGCGCGTTTTCTTACGTCCTCGTTACCCTTACACTTGCCGTCCGGTTTAGACACCGGTGATCAACACGGCAGCAGGTAATCGTGCAAGCAGGTGCGGCTGGTGACAAATAGAGTGCCTTTACAATGTAAAATGAAGGCGTACAACTTGAACAAACGATGATGGAATACCTGGTGTGGTGTGAACAATTCATTGACGGTCTTCAGTACGTCTGCCGGTGGTGATCATGGTAAACATGAATTCGACCCCAGCTTACTCTCTTAGTGGTCATTCCTGTGAACGCCTGATCGCACAATAGACCAGTTAGGGAAAAGATTTAGGAAAATGGGCATATTCAGAGAGTCAAGTCAAGCTGAGTAGTAAGATAGCTTTTAGCGTTTAGATGCTTTCCCGGGCGTGAATTGAACATTGGAATAGTTTCAAAAACACGGTACGATCCTGGCAGAAAAAGGAAGTCTTGCTTCCACCCGAATGGGTATGCCTTTTGCTTGTCAACTTCAAAGGCTTGAATTGAGGTAAACACACCATCGTATCAGCCTACCTCAATCCTCACGGCTTCAGACATCCGGTTGATTTGAGCCAGTTGAATGTGAAGAAGGCTAGCTAAGGTTCCCGTGGTGCTTCTGGTCTTCTCCTGGCGCTGTTGTGCTCGCAACTGAGTTGGTACTTTTGGTTTCGGTGGTGGTGATGGTGGCGATGGTGGTGTTGGAGGGGTCTCAGGTGATCTTGACGCCTCTATGGATTGTGCTCTTCTCACCACCGCGGCACCAACTCGAAGGCGACTCATCTCCGTCGCCGCACAATTCATGAGAGCTGCAACTCCACCAGTCGTTAGCTGTTTGGCGCCCTGCAATAACACCCAAATCGACTTTAATCCCTTCGGCGTGGCGCTTTACCGTCCATACATTCTCTCCCACTCAAGGTGACTAATAAACTCGTAACTTGCCTCCTAAATAAGGAGCATAGTGTGTAAAAGTTGGACAAAGTGGAACAAACAAGTTGCGAAAGCTTAAATAATTTATTTCAAGCTAAAAAGGGAGCTCTTTTGTGCCTGCCATCTGAGATGCGGACAACATTGTTCGAGCCAAGAGCAACTTTAGAGGGAGGCTAGATTTAAGAACTCCATAAAATGTAAGGGACAAGATGATGCGATTTTATTAATAAAAAAATATTATTACAAGATATGCATTTACAAAAAAAAATATCAAGAGAAGATTGTATTATGCTGGATATGTGACACTGTTTCAAAAACGCCGCTGACGCTCCCTTCTTTTTGTTTAAAAAAGCGAGTGTGCGTCTGTGCACCTCCATGCATCACAGTAGAGCCAGAAGGCGTCATTTTTTAGCTGACCGCTGAACGGGTTTGAGAAGAGCCAAATCTTGTTTCTAGGCCGTAATTATCATCCAGGGTGTCGAGACTGATTCAAGTGTTCGAAAATTCACACACTGTTTACCAAAGCGTAGCCTAAGTGTCAACATCACTGATTTTTTTTGCATCAGCCTAGTGATACTGCACCGTACTACAATTAAATAGGCCATCATTTAAATCTCGCATCCCAAATACGAAATTAACTCATTCAGGATTGCATTGTTTAAACGGTTTTGACTTTAGAGGATGATAAAGAAAACCTGACCTTAGCCATCCCTATTTTTACCCTACTCTTACGGTCCGATTAAGGAGAAGTCATCATGAGAAAGTCGAATACTGGGGTCAGGAAATGTTGATTGTCATCACATCGAACTTTGAGGACTGTCGTCGAGGCAACATGGAAAATGAGGCCGCATTTTCCTTCCTCCCATCTTAGGGTGCTTACTAGGGTCTTCCCACGAGCCTTTTTACTCTAAGAGGGTCTTAGGCTGTCTTCATGAATGCGACTTTCTCCCCTCTTTTGGGTTCACCTATACTGGGGACGTTTTATAAGGCGAGGAAATAGTTGGATCTGCAAGAATCAAGAAGGGATATCACGATTGGGGTTGTTTGAGCTTTAAAAAAATGAACAATTGCGTCCACCACATTAACAAAAACAGAGCTGACATCTTTAATTACCTGATGGGTTTATAAATCACCTCACTCGGAAGAAATGGTAGAAAAATAAGGGCGGAAAATTTACTTTGATATAATTAATTGATCCTCCGATATTGTGCCTTTTATACTACGAAAATTCTTGAGATCGAGTCGTAAACAGCCTTGGATGAAACTGGAGCTTGTTTATCTTATGCAAACAGGACCGTAAATATTTCAGATGGCACAAAAATTTGGCAGTATCTACTCACTAAATACAAATTTTTCCTGCTATAATAGCATTTATTTGTTATATAAAGTATGGCGAAAGAGACAATAGTAGGAAATAATTTTAAAATTCTTTAAACGAACCTCTGCAAGTACTAATTAGCAAGTTTTTATGAACCAAATACACGTTTTTGGAGCTGTAATACAAGTTCAGGATTACCAGTTTTCACACTTAAAAATGGATAATTTGGAGTAGAATATGTAGGTAATTTAGTAGAACAAGCACATTAACGTATCTGCAGGCTTTATTTTAATCAGCTACTGTAAGCGTTTCGAATTCAAAATGCGCGGAAACCTGAAGTTGTTACCTTAAAGCAGTTCAAAGTGGCGCCTCACTCATGATACGTCGCTGGTGGTCCACATAAAAAGACCGTGGCGAGGGTTAATCCTTCTAATGAGTCGACTCAGTTACTCGGGATCCAGTGTTGGATACCGAACTCGCAACTGAATGTCACGGTGGGCGACACGAATGCGCTCCGGTTTCGCTACATTCATGGGTTTCCACTACATTAACGACAACTTTTCTTGGACTACATTATACGTGGACTGTAACGATAGGTCTTCTTCTGACACCTGGCATCACTTAACAATCGAGTGGTTGCTGTCTGGGTCACGACAACGATTGAGGGGTCAAGAAAATGCCAGCTGGGGTAAGCTGCCCACCCTCCTGTGTTGATGCAGGCATTCCGTGCCGCCTAACCGTCAGGAATGAAATTTGATAGGGTGAAACACGATTAATCATGTTAAGGCACGCACAGAGATTGCAAATAACGGACGTCCAAGAAAGGCTTCCTCGGGCATTTAGAAAAAAAAGGACCAAAATTTCTTTTTTAACCTCGGCGACTTTCACTAGGCTTATCCGACATCCAAGTAGTAAGTCAGACTATGACATATTACAAACAGACAGACTGGCATACAACTTTCGACTTCTTAGTTAGATCTCGTTTTTACTTTTCAAGAACTGGTGAAGATGAAACAACTATCTAGGTGATAAGTCATTTGTTTAAGCGTATCACTCCATAGCGGTGAGTTACAACCCGGAAGATTTAAAGTGAGTGACCTCAAATAAATTAAAACCTGGAGAAAACGAGTATGTAAGTCAAAATAGTGAATAAAACGAGACAATAAATGAGTAATTGGGTTAATGATAAATGAGTAGACAATAAAGTGGCTGGCAAATGAACCAACAGAAAATTTCCTTAGTAGAAATGCTTTTACTAGTGTGATTGGATAAATTGGCTTACCGCCATCATAGGGATTAATTCGGATCAGACGCCGGGTCGAAAATAGGCGCAAACGTGATCCTCTCAAATGCCTTCACACTTTGAGGTGATTGGCTACCGGTCTGGCGCGTTGCTAGGACAACTAGCTTAAGAGTTTGAACAATAAACTAGCCAAACTCTCAAACCACTCCACACACTTAACTGAGTGCAAACACAAAGTAAGTGATTTGTTTAGATTCTAATTTACGGCTAAAACACGATCCATGTCCTTACTCCATTGTAAAGGGGAATGGTAAACCACAAACTTTTAATTATTTTGCACAAAACAAAAATTATTTACCAAAGCCTAGATGCTCCTATCGCCTATTCACTTGTCAAACATCCCAGAATCACTTTTTTATGTCAACTGAAAAAGAAGGAAAACAGTGTACCCCTACCTTGGAGAATTTGTGGCTGGAAGTCCTTTTAACGGGAGACTGAATCACGGCGTTGCGTTGGCAACAGGCTAAACCTTGCTCAGATAAACACAGGGCCTCTGCTTCAGCTTCAATAAGCTCCCACAAGGCACCCTCTTCGTCCTTCTCATCCTTATTTCGAGGTGACAATTTTCCATTCTTTCGAGGCACAAATCCAAAGACTATTTCATCTGCATCGTTTAATGTTGGATCGCCTTCTTGGCTGGATACTTGTAGGGGTTGTAGGTAGGCTTGAAATTCTGGACATTCAGAGAGGAGAATAGGCGAGGATCCATTCATCGCATTGTCGTCATCATCTTCGTCTTCGTCACCAGCATTTGCAGCATCACCCTCTTCCAGCTCTTCGTCCTCATCGTCCGCTTTATGGGAGTGGGAATACCCTCTAAGTAGTGCTTCCACGTCCTCCAACTGTGGTGATGCATCATCCACATCGTCTTCTTTATTATGCTCCACTTTACTTCCCCTACTCGCAATCGCCATTTGGCCGTCCTCTGCTGAGAAAGAACGAGCTAAAGTGCCATTAGTCTTAATACACTGGTATCCGCCGCAATAACGGCTGTGGTGATTCTGGCCTTGAGACCCAGCATCCGAGAGGTCCAATTCTAAGCGAGGCTTAAACGTCGCTGCCATTGTCCGCCTTGGTAAATTTATATATATATACACAAACAGACAGAGAGAGACAAATAATCCTAAGACATTTTTGCTTCGCTGACTAAGAGAAGCGTGATGTAGATGCATGCACCGAAGCAGACAGCCGCCAGTGTAATAAGTGACCAATCAGACGAGAGAATGAGACGAGTGACCAATCAGAAGGGCGAAATGGTGGGCCACTTGCCAGCATGCACGTGCACCGGTCGCAGAAGCAGCGGACGTGGTCTGATGCGTTGCAGTAGTCGATTTTTCGTGCTAGGGGGAGATGACTAATCTTGGCATTTTCTATTGTCAGTGAATAGTTTCTACCTGTTATGCAAATCTTCCACTACCAAAAGCACCAAAAGTGCTTTCTTTTACGAAGCCGCTACAATTTGTCAACGCAGGGTATCCAGGATGATGTTAATTGCAATCAATTTCACAACAGACTCGATCTCAGCCACATATGTTTACTTTAGTGTGCTTGTGCCTAAAAAGGTCATTTTGTTCAAGGATATGCACAGTTCAGCCTTGAGAGCTATCCAGGGCACTAACGGTTGTTTAATGTGTAGAAAATATTTGTGCATCTAGTAACTGCGCAGACCGTTTGGTCGCCATGATTTCGGACACGGATGCGAAAATCACCAAACCCTGAATGGATGGCACAAAAGATCCTCATAGAAAGATAGCGGCGATCTAGTTATTAAATGCTGAGACGAAACTAGACTCGGTCTCTTTGAAATATGCCTTTATGAAGCTGCCGAAGATATTCACAATAATGGAAATGGAAACAAGAAAAGGAGTCAAGCGGTGGTGAATCGAGAACAAAAATTTCGGAGAGATTGGAAGGTGGGAGTTTTGCCTGCAAAGCTGTCTTATGTATATAATCCGATGGATATCCCTTAGAGTGGATGTTTCCGCAAGGAGAGTTTGACACGCGGAATGTGTTGGATGTCGTGGAACCGCTGGACTAGAGCGAGACAGGACTTGGGAATCACAATAAGGCAGTTCACACCAAGAGGGCGAAATTGCGGATCTGATGAAGCCGATGTTGGTGATCAAACGACCTTTCCGGTGGCACTTTTTGACGACGGACTGATTCCAACATTTCATCTCCTTACTACATCCTCAGTAAAAAGTTCATTTTTTTAGACCTTATCTCCAAAGTGCGTAATTCAGATTTCCCTTTTTCGATGGATGCAGGTATGAGTGGATGTGAGAACCTTATTTCCACCCGGCCTGTAGGCAGTCATATTAAGGTGTTTGTGGGTGCGGAATGGGCTGTGTACCATCAAGCCTCAAAAAGCTGGAAAACAAGGAAAAGTACATCATCCGACCAGTTCAAGATAAACTGTACCTATCAAAAGACCAAGGAATGATCCGCTCTTGTTTTTGTGTTTCCACTGTGCAGCCCATCAGGAGTATATTAGCCTATCAGAGATGTCAAAAAATGTCAGATTGTCATATGATTACACGAGCTCGGTGCTTAATCACATCCAGTAGGTCCTAACGTGAGTAAGGACGCAGTAATGTGCTTACACCTCCATCGAGTGGGTAGGAATTGTCATGGAAATGGAGAAGAAAAACTACATCTCGTACGCATGTTGGACACTAACAGATGACAATAAGCTTGAAAGCCTAATTTTCCTTTTCCAGAAGTTTATGCCTACTTTGTGGTGCACTGTAGACAAAATTTTTCAGCTTGATTTGGCCACTTGTTTAAGGTCAAACATTTGAAAGTGACATCTGTCTTTTTTCTACAGTTGAATATGCTTTAAGGGTGCGAGAGAATACCTCTTCCCTCGCCTTCTCCTCTTTTTTCTCGAGAAACAGCCGGGATTAGTAAAATCTTTAGGCTAAGCAATCTACTCCTAAAGGGAAAAGCAAGACCTCATTTTTTACACAGAAATTTGAATAGCTGAGCATAATCGACTCCCTGGAAGTCTTTATGTGGAAACTTCGGATGAGGTAGAGAGGGAGGTGCTGACTCAACCACATCCACATCCATCGGTTTCCCCAAATAATGCCTCTTCAAATTGAAAGTGATAACCATCCTCTTTTCTTGGAAGACAGTTACATTATCACTTGCGGAGTTCACAGTAGATGGGTGACATAGGTGCGGAATAGCGACGAAGGCGGCCAGGTGTGGGTTGTTTTACTCGGTTCTTAGAGGAAAATCGAAAATCATCAGTCTTAAGTGGCTTGTGTCTTGCTAGAGAGGTTTAAAGACTACATTGATGTGTATTTTTAAGCCGTCATTTTATTACAAACCGCTTTTACTTGTTGTGATTTCTGCCCATTCATGGGTAGTGCCTACTAGACGGCATACATATTCCGGGCGGTTAGGTAAACCAGTCCAGTAGCAAACTTTCAGTGTAGAGCTCACAATGATTAGTCTTGTGTTGTGGTCACGACGAGTCCTCCAGTGAAATGCAATGAAATTGACGATGGAATTTCAGACGATATGACAAAATTACTTAATAGGAAGCAATGGCTAGTGGGTAATCTCAAAGAAACAAATCCTCTGCAAGCTGAACTGATATGTAGATGGGTCCAAAGGCTTGACGGAGTCCATATGCTAAATTCCTCGCAGTCCCTAGTAATTGTGCCCACAAAGTGATGTGAGGAAAAAGGCTACCATAGTTTTTGCTCATAAAGTAAATCATTGCGTTCAGGAACAAGAAGTTGTATCTTCTTAAAGGTCATTTTCGTCTAGATGATTTCTGGATTCCCTTTACTAGCAGTTGTTCATAAAACTCCAAGCTGGGATTGTGGTACACGTGTACCCCACTTTAACCCCTCACCAGTGAGATGCCCCAGATTGAACAATCTATGGCAGACGGTTTACTTCAGTGTTGTTTGGATTTGGTAAATGGCCAAATGAAGCAAAATGTGTCCTCTCTTACAGTGTCTTTACTTATAGCTGCCTCTAAGTCATTCCTTTTGTGAGTTTGTTCTTGACGTACGGAAGGACTGGAGAGCCTCAGGCTTAAATTGATGTCCATTACAAAAAATGATGGAAGAATCCGAAGTGACTCACGGTATCGCATGTGGATGGCAATGAGTAGAATATTCTTAAAAGTTCAAAGATGAAAAGTCATTACTAAGGAAAATTGGCTGTTTTAGGCAGACAATCTCCAGGGGCGATGAGGAGCACGCTCAGGATAATATTGCCATCTGATTTTTTGCTGTATCCGAATATCACCGATATGATCATTGACAAGTGAAGTGTAGACAATAACTCCATAACTTCTTAACAACTTGGGTTTTATTTAGATTTGACGAAGTACCGCTATGTTGATCGTGAGCTGGAAATGGCGGAAAATTTCAGCATCATTTTTGGTCAGCCGCAAAATTTATTTCATGATATATTTGCTACTTGCAATCAATAAGTAGAATAATCCAAAGGGGATATAATGCTTGCTAGGAAAAAAACAGGGCAAATATGAGGCAACTAATTAATCTTACCAATAGATACTAAATCAAACCACCTGATCCCATGTAAAAAAAGCCAAAACAGCCTTTTTTACTCGTTTCTGGTGGAATCAGTCTAAACAGGAAGACTGGAAATGGTTAATTCTAGAGTGCAAGGTAAAGCTAGTTTGTGGTAGCCCGTCTCGCTCCTTATCATTTATAACACAATATTTGTCAAAGCTGGCAAAGATTACTGCTCCTTTAGTGGGCGTATTAGGTATAAGAATTCCAAGTTTACTGCCAGAAGTGGTGGACATTTCCCTCAGTGAACAATCTACAAGTAAATTAAAAAGAATTTTGTTGCTCCAAAGAAGCAGTAGAAGTGACAGCATGGGTGCCTGAAGGAGTCATGGTATCCGTGTCAGGGTGCCACTTTTAAGCCCATAGCTCTCAGACCCATCTGTAAACCAAATATACACTCCTCCTTCACACTTATTTCCCCTCATTCCTTCTTTGTGGTTGACATAAAGCGAGCTACACTGGAAACAGATGGATAAGTTGAATAACCTTTTCAAGGGAAAGCAGCTGGTGTGGACTGCTTAAATTGTGAAGACTGTTATAGCTGCGTCGACTTCTTCCCACTGGCCGGAAGTCGCTTAATTTATTGCCCCGAAATGAACGAAGACACAATGGGCTGCGTACGAGTTGTTATGACTGTAGCGGCTTATACGATAATTTGAGGACAGAACACCTCATCTTTTTTAAACGCAACATACTTATTGCTAAGCCTCAACCAGGGTACCTGAAGGGACTGTTTCCTAACAAAAGACCCAAAAAACAAGCTTCTTAAGCAAATTTGCAAAATACACTACCACCTATTGTAACGAAAATTTTCTCATTCCCTCCTTTTTTCCCCTCAACCAGTTAGCTGGAGACGACTCAACCCCCCGCGCTCATTTTTTTTTGACTAGTAATAGGCTTCTTTCCGTGTTTCTACGTCTTTCTTGTGTCTTCACCGATTGCTTAGAGCTTCACAAGACTCATGTAGATGCGAATAACTCTCTAAATAAACTAAGGTGAATTACCAGAAGAAATAAAATGCATTAATCAAGTCAAAAATGGGCAAGAAACCAGATATCTACTGTCTATCTCGCATATTACCAAGTGAGAGGCCAATGTTGAAATCCTTTAGATATTGGCTGTGATGAGGTTGAGGCTAAGTCTAGGCCTGAGACTGGAATTGTGACAGTAGCTTCCTCCATTCTATCCCAAAGCGAGGCATAAGACCATCACAGACACCACTTCCGAGCGATGGTGCAGGCGTTGCAAGGTCTTGTGTTGTCTTGTGAAAATACTACATTCCATGCACTAATTCAGCAGTCCTGCCTGTTTCTCAAGAAGGAAAAGAGAACTAATGAAAGGAAGGGGAGGAGGGAGAGAAGGAAGTGGAGGGAGAGCTTCTCTGGCACAGCTTCGAGGGGTAGACAGTTGTGTCGAGATAATCCACCTTAATCTCCAACAAGCCAACAAGCCATTCTGAACGACCGCACATACCCACGAACAGAATAGACGCGGTCTCCTAGAGAAGAATGAAAAGTATGGAGTGTGGAGTGGATATTTTAGCGAATAACCAAAGATGCACTCTTTTGGTAGAAAATAACAAACCATTTTGCCTCACAAGTCAATCATTTTGCCAGCCAAGCAGGCAGACAATCGGGCAGTCAGTCAGTTGGCTAATCAGTTGATCAGTAACCAATCCAAAGTAGCGCTATAAGTTGCAGGAAGGAGGGAACAAATCGAGCCTATTGTCATCTCCCAATGACTGACATGTGGCTGACATCTCTTTACTTAGTTCTTTAGCTTCTTCGCTTACATTACCAGGAAAATTTTTAAGAGCTTGAAGGAGGTGTAAGCGCATTGTTCTATCAGCACTCACCTCAGACATCATCGCGTTAGTCCTTAACCATCCTGTTGAAGGATAGATGGTCTTTAATGAATGTCATGATTCCTCATTCCCTATAAAATACCATTTTATGGCCCATTTGATTCTCGACCGCACCTTTTCCCGATGCTACACAACGGGAGAAGATCCTTCTCACTTCTACCGTAAAATTCATCATTTCAAGCCGGCGCTTTACAATTTGAGGGTTTGAAACGTGAAGAAGGTGGTAGAAGGGCCGGGGTCGAGTACCACGCGGATAAACTGACGCTTGTGTGTCGATCTGTTTATCGCAAACGCTGGCATGCCTTTGACACGTTCCCACACGTCTCCACATGTCCTTAAGGTGGGCCGCACCGAAATTACGCCGTCACTTCAAGCACCTGATTCTTTCAGGTAAACAACTGTACAATCACGAATTGGAATTCTTTTTAGAAATAACTTTACCTTTAGTAACACCTAAATGCTACTACCAACAATTTAAGTAGGTGGCAACTTGTATCAATGGGGTGATTTAGCATAAGGCGAAATTAAAGGCACAAATTTCTGGACAAATGCCCTCTTTCGGATTCCCACTTGCCTCATTAACCATTCTTGCATCCCTCTTTGCATGCACGAACAGCCATAAAAATGGTGTTTGCCATGTGATGCTGACGAAAATACAAATTAGCAAACCCTCATCTTCTAGAATCAGGGGAAAGAAAAGCTAATAAATGGGAAGAAAATCTCGCATAACTTCATGCTAGGCGCTTTCTTTAAGAAAATGTACCTTATGGTTCCTAGAAAGGCAGACTAATGGAGAAGCAAAAAGCATTACAAATCCATGGTACAGCTGAGAGATCTGAGGGCCACGTCGGAGTGAAGAACTTACCAACCGTGGTGATTGAAAAGTCCGCCTGGTAAGGTGGGGGCGAAAAAGCAATGGTAGTGGGAAGAATAACTTTCTTCTATGAGACTGTTTAGATTTTAACGAAGGCCATCACTTTATGTATAGAAGACCATGTCTACTTAATTCATGGATACCTGCAACGCACTGGTGATGGAAGTGTTCAGCATGAACTGTTACCTTGTCAAAGACGGCAAAATTGTGGTCAAGATAGATTAACTTGACAGACCTCGCTACTCCCTGAAAATGTGTCAGAAGAACCACTTCTTCCTCCACTCCCCCCCTTCCCTTTATTCTTCTTCTCTTGTCCCAGTCTCAATCTCAGCCTCTGGCCCACCCGAATCCCAGCCATTTTCCAAATGATGGCAGCATTGGACTGTCACATGGTCATATGCGAAATAGACAGTAGACAGCTGGGTAAATAATGGAGAACAACAAAGGTGGCTAGGGCAAGTTTTTCCCTTGGTTAATCAAATATGATGAGTCCCCCTTCGGGAAAGGAACAGCATGCATCTCAAACCTTAACTCATAAAATGTATTCGGATCCATTTCTTACTGTAACTTGGACCTAGCTTGGTTAATACCCATGAAAGGGACCCAAAGAAAAAAGAAGCTATTCACTTTCGGGCATGTTTGGGTCTAGTACAACCACTTCCGACCTTCTAGCTACAACTGTGAGTTTAAAGTTGTTCTTTGTAAGCTTTTGTAAGGCTAACAACTCCAATTTTTCCTGTCCTTATCTGTGTAAAGCTCCTCCTCCTCCT